AAAATAACTGTTATATGCAGATTATTTAGACAAAAATCAAAAAAAAATTCTTATTTTGGATTTATAAAATAAATCTCAAAAAACTTTTATTTAAGGAGTAATTTAAAAAAATCAAGAAATAGTTGTCAAAGAGCGATTTTTTTAATAAAAGTTGTATCTTTTACGGTCTCTGGTAATTTATTTAGAACATGAGATAAAATATAGAATTGTATTATCGAACCTCTAGGCGGCAGAATATATATCCTTCATATGACTGATTAACAGGATGTACCTTTAATTTAAAAATTACATCAACATGCCTATCCCCATTTAATATCATATCATTAACACCGAGCATCTCCCTCTCAACTTATAGATATATTCACATTCAAAAATAATGTTTCTTCTTTCGATTTATATATATTTATATACTCTTAGTATACTTACTTTAATCATCTTTAACCTCGGTTTTTCAGAATACAACAAAGACGATCCACTCAAAGCCGAAATTCACAGCATTCATGAGCAACAGAACACCATATTGATTTTGCTGATCGTCTTGCTTGCACTCATTGCTATAAGATACATATACAAATGTGTACGTTGGTTCCGAAGTAATCGCATCTTCACATCAATGCTAAACAAACTGCACAAGCAGCATGAAGCCGCCGGCACTGGCACAAATGGCAAGGATATGGTAGTGGGAGCGACAATATCCAATGTGATGGCCATAAATGGTGATATGGAGCGAGCGCCATCGCAGATATTTAGTGTAACGGGTAAGTGAAAGAGGAATGCGTAAGAAATTTGAAAGGGAGAGAGTAAACCTAAAGTAGTACTTTTATTTTTAAAATCAAAATTAACGTTTCTTTGCGTAGGCGCTGAAGGCTCGGTAATGACAATGACAACACCAGTCAGCACACGCTATCCGGCGGAGAATAGCACTACACCAACAACTGTGGTGACAGAGTATTCGTATTATAATCAAGCGCTTGCAGTGACGCCTGTTTCGGAGAAACCAAATGGTGGTGTGCACGCCTTTTGAACGAATTTGAGGATATGTTTGCCATAGCGAGAAGAGCGGAGTTGGGGAGAGGAATTTCTATCGAGAGACAGTAAAGGTGAAAAATGAGCGAATAACGTATTTGGGAGATCTGTCGTAGAGAGACGTGATGACCCTTAGTTAAATGATATTATATATTGAATCATCAGTATAAAAATTATGAAAGTATTACACGTCGGCCCAGTAAAGGAAGTTTTCACGACTACTTAACCTAATTAGGCATACGCTGAAGATCATCATTATATTGGCACCGATCGTGTAAGACATGATCAGTCTTATGGAAGCAAATTCTGTATACGTACCTCGCTTGATTGAGTATCTGAGTCGGGAGGTTCGTTGTTTTGTGCGAACTATTGGTTTGAGTAAGCGGGAAAGCAACTCTATCATTTCGATTTCGACGTTTTATTAGGGTGTAAAAGTTGCGTTTCATGATAACGTTGAGCCGTGTTCAACCGTTTTCCGATCAGAGATTAAGAACATGTGTCCAAAGTATAAAAAATCTCAATTTAAGAGATATTTCGAAAATTTGAGGCTCTTGGAGCGACCGTATATATTATTCCATTCAATGTTTTCCTGTTACGCAACTTTTTCGCACTACTATAATTTCGAAATTGAAATTGTTGATTTTTCGCTCCACCCTACGGTTCATTTTCCTACACCCCATGCAAATATCAATAAAAAAAATTCTATAAAAGCAGCTAAAAGCTAGTACTTTTGGCAAGAAAAATTTAATATCTACAAGATTCAATTTTTTATGAATCGCTTATGACTCGTATGTAAAGTACACCTGTGACGTCAATTTACACTCATGTACTTAAAATTAGTAATTTATTTAGCTGTAAATTAATAAGAAATCATTGGTTAATTGTTTGAATAAGCAACGAATACATCATTGAAGAAGATATTAGAGAGCAAATGTGAATTCTTAAAAAAAAAATTTAAATCACCAAAAGT